ATATAGAACGACGAGTGAACGCAGGAAATAGAGTGAATGGGTCTCTACACGCTATTATGAGGAGTCAGAATGTGTCAACTAAGGCACGTATGGCAATTCATAATGCTGTGTTAGTCCCTACTTTAATGTATGATAGTGAAAGTTGGGTCTGGCAGAAGAAGCATGAGAGTAGAATAAATGCTGTAGAAATGCGTTCCTTAAGGAGTATGCTAGGGCTGAATCTGAATGACAGGGTGAGAAATAGTGTGATAAGAGAAAAGTGTGGTTTGCAAAATGACGTTGTGACAAGGATTAAGAAAGGAATGCTTCGGTGGTTTGGTCATGTAGAAAGAATGAACGAGGAAAGAGTGACAAAGCAAATTTATGTTGCAGAAGTGAACGGCAGGGTCGGGAAGGGACGCCCTAGACGAAGGTTTATCGACCAAATCGGCGATACATTAAAAATGGGCCAGATTAGGACTACCCTTAACCGACGAGCGTGTATGCGTAGATATATGGATGTAAAAGAGGCGAGAGACGTGTGTCAGGATTCCGCCAAATGGAAGTCCGTAGTCTCTGCCTACCCCTCTGGGTGACAGGCGTGAGTGTTTATGTATGTATGTATTTTATTTAGAAATATAATATGTTAGTTTAGATTAAATTAAGATATTTTGTATTAAATTCTTATATTTATTTTATATTAATATCTTATTTTATATCAAATTAAAGTCTTCGCGCATGCGTGACTACTACTCCCGCGCATGCGCGAAGACATAGAGTAGGACACAATTTTTGTTTGGAATGGCTTCTCTAGTACGTAGTACATATAAATCAATGTTATAAACACACACAAACTTTCAACATGCGGAAACGCGTACTTTTTGAGAAAAAAATTATTGAAAAGCATTTATTTTTACAATTTTTTTAAACTGGCTTTACGGCTTTGGGTTCTAGCCCTTCTGAGCCTGAAGTTACAATGTATAATTATCCTTCATAGTACACTGCTTCACAATATGTTGATGCATCACCTAGTGCAGCCCTTGGGAGATTTTGACGGCAACTTGAGCCAAGAGACAGCTGACAGTTAGCGATAGTATCTCAAGGTGCCTAAGCAGACAGACACCTTATCTTGAGAATCACATCACCATCAGAGCACTTGTTTAACCGTTTCCACTAATAGTTCACATGCGTAAACATTTAATACACAAAATCGCACCACTTTATTTACGTCAATTCCTACCACAGATTATATCGAATTCTATTTAAATTATAAGAATTATTTTATTACGAATTTCCATTGACATTCATTGAATTGGAAGGTGTAGGGGGACTGATTCAGAGGGATTTCTGCATTGATTTATATGTTACACTAGATACTTAAGTAATTGCCGCGCCAAAGCGTTGCCACTTCACATATGGCCACAGCCATATGCCCAGCTAACGTCGGTTCAGTGTTGAATGCGACGCCGACCGAGTTGAACCGAACGATTCACGACAAAAAAAATGGGTAAATGCGTAGTGAAAGAATGCGATTCAAGGCCACAAAAACATAATTAATCAAGCAGAATCACTTTCCACACGTAAGTTTTAGTTTATGTTTTCATATTAACGTAAAATACACAAAAAAAATGAAATAAAATATCGAATATTGCAATTTAAGTTCAATGTTGCCACTTTTCTGCCTTTGCAATTTTCCCAAATTACACTACTATGGCTATATAATTTATGGAATAAGTTAACTTGTTAGCCCTGATTTTAAATATTTTGGAAATTGTAATAAAAACTATGTTTCAACCTTTATACAAAGGAATTAATTATTCTTATTTTAGAATATTCTAGAGATCTATTTATATTGTATTATATTGTATTACCTATTTTATATTAATAATTTTGGTCATTTCATTAGTTATACTTCTATTCATCGGATAAGCAAAGATACATATTTAAAATAAAAACAAATCGCACACCTAGATCTAAACAGAGTTAACTCAAAAAACAGTTTTTATCAGAAAAGGCGAAAAACTGATTACCGTATTCCTGTACACTACAGGAGTTTTCTGTATTGATCAATGCTTTCTAAATGCAGATAGAAGATAGATGTTATAGAAATCTTGTGTTTAATCGTTTATTATGGCTGAAAATTGGATTTTTGTAGTTATTTCCGTATTGTTTAACAAATATGTGTATATTTTTTGGTATTTAGAGTTGAACCTGTGTTGGTGAATTTAATTTTTAGTTGACTCCCTTTTGAAGAATCAATGTAAATTTAAATGTAACAGCATTTTGAACTTATTTATAATAATTCGAGTAATATAGGGGTGGTGAGGTGATCAACAATAGGAGTTAACAAGAAAACATTAAATTAAGTACTCAAAACATACATATTTTTACTTAACACTATAATATATAATAATATTACATTAAAAAAAATAATGACAGACTTTTACGTTCTCTAATTATGTATTTCAAATAAAATTATCTTATAAAATAGTAACACAACATAAAATATATAGGAACCTTCCATTCTATGAAAAACATCTAAAAACACATTTGACTCATATTTGTAAGTATAACATTTTTCTAATAGATATTAATAAGGCCATTATTACAGAACGAAACTCAGGACTCTGTTAAAACTCAAGAGCAGTTTTAATAATATGTTTAGTCCAACTCTGAGTTCATGAGTTAGAATAAAGTTTTGAGCACCGTATCTACTATTAGCATGACACTAATGCACAAATATTCAAACGCTGCTCAATTTTAAGATACCGTTTAGTCTCGTGCTGTTTCTATCACTTTTAAGATTTCCGAGTCCGAAAAATTATTAGATATTTCATCAATCTGATCTTTACATTTTAGCGGACATTTTTCTCCACAGGGGCTCCAACTTTTCTCTCTGGCATTCGTGTCATTCTTATATATTCGACTTCGGCAGACTGGTAGACTTAACCAGAATCTCTCGGCACTTTTGCAACTTTCGATTTCCACATCGTTAGTTTTAGTACTTTCTATTTACCCCTCTTTATATTATTTATTCTCCTCTATTACCCCTCTTTATTTTATATCTATTAAGGGCCTTGGGCATTAATTTCAGCAACCGTAGCATTTTGAGGGTTGAGTTGTACATGTGCACTATCATTTTCGGTGTCTGACGAACTACTAGAACTTGATAAACTCTTGGAGCTACTACTGCTGGTACTGCACGAAGACAACGATGAATTTTTACTTTAATGAATCAGTCAGAAATTGGGATCTTTATCTGAGTTATCGATGCAACTTTCGTCAATTTGGATTGGTGAAATGTAATCATTTCTTGCACCATTTTAACGTGGTAGAGCCATGCTGCAGCTATATTATACTTGTAGCACGAAATAGTCGATTTGACCGGGGAAGGACCACGCTCTCACAGAATACCAGCGTAAAAGAGCAGCTTAAAGCTGTTGTGTTTCGTTTCGTGAGTGTAGAGAACCGGAGACCCTTTTTACTGGAAAGGAGGCATTCCATCTTAGTGCTCACTCTTATCTTATAAAAAAAACATTCTGCTGTTGTTTAGACGTACTCGAAGTAGATTATCAACCACGAACAAGGCGCAATGAGTTTCCTTATATGAGTCTTCATTGCTTAATCTTGAGGTCATCTTCTAGCTAGCGACCTGTTTACTATTTACTAGTTTAGCCTCCTTCTGTATTATTTGTTCAAACTCCTCTTACAAAGGTTAGTATAAGGTTGCATATTTTCATATTGAGTCAGTAAGCTGGGGCTAATGTTTTATTTGCCCATCTCTTAACCATATTTACTAAAACTGTTCACGATAAATTATTTTTCTGAAATGGAAAATGTAAATTTCACTAATCATCAGGTCCAGGACGCCACATCGATTTAATAAGCAATCGATTTAACGCTTCGATCTCATGAACTTGATGCACTGATGACTGATACTTGATGATGTACTGTAATCCATCTAAAGAGCTCTAACTTAAAAACTGTTCTACAAAAACACAACAAGCTGTGTAATTGTCAGTATGAAAATAATATATACATTAAGATGAAAAGACTTATTCACCACTAGCAAAAAATTTAAATTTCATTTGTTTTTAAAAGAAATATAAGAATTTAAAAAATTACTCAACAAAATAGAGTCAACTACAAATACAAAAAAATTTCAAAGACATGGTAACAATTCTAAATGAAAACAAAAACTTTGCTCAAAAATGTAGCTTTAAGTTACTCAGCACTCACCATCAAAACGGTGACAACTCAAAATAATCTTATCTTGTTTAATATTGACTGTAACTAGCGATGTTCCTGTTTTGATGGGAAAGGAGTGGGCCTTGCTCGTTCAACTAAAGGGGCTTCTACGGTCACCTAGCTTTGAGTTGTAGAACTATTTTTGAATCTGTTTTATTGGTCGCTAGGTAGTGACTTAAGGAATTCGATGGTATGCATAACTTAAAAATTGAAATTTTTGAGTTAGCTCCCTTTAGATCTAGGTGTACGAAATAACTAGCTTAAAAAAAACTCCTTTTTATTGCCTATTTTTGGGTAAAATTTCATATAGTAGGCAATACCAACCTGTCACTGCATGTTTGTGTGTCTATCTTTATCTAATCTTAGCGACGGTATTGTTTTCGCGACTTGTGTAAGTGAGACAGATATATGTTTACTTAAAAAGGTTTAGTGGTTTCAAAGCTACGTCCTCACGGTTAGATAGTGGCGGCACTTTTTTCGACGCGCGGTAATGTGGTTTGCTCCTCTAGTCTTGTATAACTCAATCGATTTCTGAATCTATTTTGAGACTGCAACATCTCCGGCGCTGCGAGAAGAGCAGCCTCTACGCCTTACAGCAAGCAGAGGCTGCTCCCCCTACGCACCTCCGGCTCTATAAAAACACTCTAAGGGTAGGACAGACTCGTACTAGGTAGAATCGGGGTCAATCAATTTGGTTCTTTGACATAAGTAGTACCTAACCTATTTATTTATTAACTGCCCTAATAGGTACTGTTAAAATAATACAAATAAAATATAATTAATAATTTATTAATCAATTTTATACACATATTGTATTGCTTTAATTAATTCTTCGAAAGCATCTTTATGTTCTATTTTTATTTTTCTTCGCCAAGAATATTCAATAAGCCAGTCTGTGAAATTTCCTTTATATCCATCCCTAATGAACATCACTTTTAAATTTCGCCAGTAGCTTTTTATTCTTTGTGTGTGTGTCCCGTCTGGTGCCACAAATTTATTATTAGGGTCGCTGTGATTTACTGTCTTATGTATGTATCCATATTGAGGTAGGGAATCATAGGCTCCACAAAAATCAGTATGGATTTCAGTGCCTACCTCCACATGCTTTCGTATTAGTGGCACCAACATTTCCTCATATCTATCATTATCGGGACACACTTCTAGTCTCAAATTATCTTTCCCATTTTCTACCATGCCCAGTACCCAGTGGCCTTCAATGTGTTTCCCTTTACTGTACTTTCTTTTTCCAAATTTTGATTTAGCTATTTGTACGATTTTGCCTGGACCACCAATCTTGCTGTTAACTTCTTGGTGCTCCAATTCATAAATAGTTACTGTCTCTCGACAGTAAGAAAACCAGTCGGATATTGTCCTTGTTGATAAAACTGTTTGTATATTTTCACGGGCTGTCTCTAGTTTTACTTGATGATAACTATACTTTTGGCTGAACATATACATTAATAAAAATTGCAACTCGATAGACAACCGCGCATTCTCGAACCATGTTCCCGCTGCCCGACTCACAGCCTTAGTGCGACACTTGCTCTTCCTGCATCGGAAGATGCCAACCTGACCAGTCTTACCGCTGGAGCTTACCATCATAGGTTTCTTATGATATGTGCACATTTTTTCTGTAGGAAGGAGCCTATGCTCTTCAGCAAATGCAATGCACTGAGCTGGGGTGTTGAGCCGGGTAATTATTTTATACATATTCCAGTGGGACCTAAAACAAACAAAAAATTCCTATTAAAAATCTAATTACTGCTTTACTTGTCAGCTTTTCCTGTGAAGTTTACATATGTGGCTATATAAGAAAACACAGAGAACCAACCTTATTTCCTTGGAATAATAGTGGACTCTTCTGCCAGACGATCCAGAAGCTTGAGGTTTCGCCTCACCTACGTCGTTCTCAGACAACGACGGAGATGCAGGCGGCAGTACCGACACGGTACTAGGAACGGTAGCGCGGGAACTACCAGCTACTGGTTCCGATGGCACAGTCGTGGGCACAGGTGGCTCACTAGAGTCTAACACTTGCACACACGAGGAGCCTGCAAAAGAGCTCGCGAAAAGTGGCTCATTAGAGTCTAACACTTTCACTACACTCGATTTTTCAGACGACACAGCAGGACATGAAACCTGGGGCTTCGGAGACGCCATGGTAATAGTTAAATGTTGTTTTTACCGCCAAAAGTACGTAAACGCTCTCAACTGCTAGGGACGCTAACAATGAGTGACGATTAGGGATGTCGATCTGAGATCGATTTTTCAGACCCGAAATATCGTTTTTTTTAAATCGGTATGCAGTACAAAATCGATCCAATGAATCGATATTTCATCCTTGAAAATCGCCATTAAAACTGATTTTACTGATAAGAGATCATTTATTGTATTATCTTTCTTTCTTTTCCATATACATAACAAATTAAATTATGCATAACAAATAATTTATTATGGTATCTTATAAATGCAAACAGGAAAATATATCTATATTTTAGAAATCCATTTTTTGTGATATCACGTCAGCATACGATTCGAATCGATTTAAAAATCTATCTTTTTCGGAAAGAATCGACATCCGTACTGACGACGACAATGACATTACAAAATGGCGCCAGTGGGCGCCAGTTTTACGTTAAGAATGTAACATAAACATTGCAAAAATAATTAATTTTCAAATAATGTTTTTTCTCAAAAAGTACGCGTTTCCGCATATTGAAACTTTATGTGTGTGCTTATAATAGTGTAACTTTTCTGTAAAAATACGTGTCAACCCCCAACTCGACGAGAGTCAATGGAAAGCTAAGCCCTTATATTTTCTAAAAAATCATATATTTACTACATTGGAAAAAAAAACGGTTTGAAAAAAAATTTACGTGGACGTCTGGATGTTGATTCTGTATGTGGTCACTAACTCCCGAAAAAATAGACGTATCGAGACCGGGTTTTTTTATTAACTTCAGAATAACAACTGGTTCCCTATTTTATATCAATAGCCTAGTGCGCGTAGTTTGAATTACGCGATGAAAAAAATAATTTGTATTCCTGACTTTATTAAGTCAGGAATACAAATTATTTTGTTCATCAAAATTAAATGAAACTCTCATGAGGCGTGCACTCTTTTTTTTTTAATGGGACACATGCTATTGTATCTCCTAAGAAATTTCACTGATGGTTAAACTACCGCAATCTAGTCATTGATTTATGAAACACTTAATACTTTTTTATTTATAGCGGCTCCGTAATCTTGCATTTTTAGCTGCTTTACGTAAATTTTTTTTTGGAGTTTATGGCCTGGTATCTAGACCTTTAGGCCAAGTCTTAAGTATTTTTATTCGGTTTATTGTAATTTCCCCACTCCTTCATAGTATACTGCTTCACAATATGTTGATGCGTCACATTGTGCAGTTCTTGGGAGATTTTGGCGGCAACTTGATTCAGCAGACAGCTGATAGTTGGCGATGGTATCTAAAGGTGCCTATGCAAACAAACAGCTTATCTTGAGAATCCATCACCATCAGAGCACTTGTTTCACTGTTTCCACTAATAGTTCACATGCGTAGACACTTAATACACAAAATCGCAACACTTTTACATATCAAAGTCCACTTCAAACCATTATTTAAACAATAATACAGGAGCAGCAAACCGCCGCCGGTCAATTTCCCGCCAAAACTCCCTTTACGTAAATCAATCAAGATAGTGTGGCATTATTGTTTAAATAATGGTTTGAAGTGGACTTTGATATGTAAAAGTGTTGCGATTTTGTGTATTAAGTGTCTACGCATGTGAACTATTAGTGGAAACAGTGAAACAAGTGCTCTGATGGTGATGGATTCTCAAGATAAGCTGTTTGTTTGCATAGGCACCTTTAGATACCATCGCCAACTATCAGCTGTCTGCTGGATCAAGTTGCCGCCAAAATCTCCCAAGAACTGCACAATGTGACGCATCAACATATTGTGAAGCAGTATACTATGAAGGAGTGGGGAAATTACAATAAACCGAATAAAAATACTTAAGACTTGGCCTAAAGGTCTAGATACCAGGCCATAAACTCCAAAAAAAAAAATTATAAGAAATATGTCCGTCGTCTTGTGCATGTGTTTATTTCTTGTGATTTCATATTTTTGAGTGTTTTATCGCTATTGTTTATGTATTTGCGTCGAGTTATGTATTTGCGTCAAGAATATGCTCTAAGGTAGACTTTGTAATTGGTGCAGTGACAGAAATATAATAAAAGAGTTATATATAAAATAATATGTTAATTTCAGCTCTTTAATTTTTATGATGGTTTGTAGTTAGTTACTTTACATATGTGCAGACAACATGGAACTTTATAACATCTCACGTTTGTTAGAATTTTATTTTCAATATTTCATTTAAAATTGTGAAATAAAAATGTTAACAATACTAAAAATCTTTCTTTTTGTCCCACATTTTATCGAGAGTATTTATGCCGATTTCTAAATAACCGTTTTTTTAATTGTTACTTAGAAATCGGCAAAATACTTAATAAAAATAAAAATATAATAGTAGTATGTATATAGAACAGGTATATTATATAATATCTGTAGTTATGTATAGTTGGTGCAGTAGTAGTTAATAAACTAGCTTCCAGGCGGCGCTGTTGTCGCAGCAATTTTTTACGTTAGAGATTCTTATCTATTTCCGTCATAGACATAGTATCTTATAGACCAAACATTCAGTGACGTCATCAGCGTGTGAAAGGAATGCACGTATATAGTTAGACATAAGAGTAAGGGAGAAGCAAATCTATATTTATTGTCTTTTTCTAGGTATGCGTTTTCGATTGTTTTCCCTCCTTTATTTGACATCACAGAGTACTTTTATATATACTGAAATAGAGACGAATCTCAAGCCCAAAAATGAATTCACGAATGTGCTGCCGTCTGGTGGTGTCGGATGGAACAATTTATATTTATCATATAGCTATACTATACACGTAGTATATATAGCTACTATATAGTATTTTATACTATACTAAATTATTGTTTCCTTATGTTTTTTCTTTTTACTTAATGTAAGAAATTTTTCTTACAATAAGTATAGGTTTTGAGGTAAAAATAAAAATTAATTTCAGAAAGTTAAGTGATTTATTGAATAAAACGTCTTTTATACATTTGTGAAAATATTTTTTGGTTTTCATTTGAAACACATCTTCATTATTGTGACACATACAACACATAATTGAATATGAAAAAGTGGCAAGACTATTTTATTTTACATAGCAAAACATCAAAATCTACATGCATTAGTATCAAGATTTTTATTAATTCTTCAACATTGTCTCTACCTAAATATTTTTAATACTGAATTTGTTGTCTTTCACTGCTGATACACACACTATAAGAGACTCAGTGGGACTGCAAAGCCACCGTTTACCTGCATATTCCCAAAAGTTAATGATTTCATTTTCTTGTAAGGCGAATATTTTAGTAGTACATTCACTACAATTTTTAAAAACATTTTTAACACATCTAGCAAAGTATCCACTAACATAATCTAATGCCGCCTTTATATATGGAGCAGTGTTCTCTTTAATATCAATTATATATACATCCAGGATTGTTTCAAGGACACAGGTTGCAGCAGCTTTGCAGTTATCTGTGATGATAACAGATTCTAAAGCCGTACAATTATCTTTTTCACAATTAGCTCCTGAGGCATGGACACTGGACATATTGTTAATTAAAAGTGTAGTGTAGGCACTCTGAAAATGTACTGGTGTTGGATTAACATTGCGGCACTCATAGCTTCTAATGGTTCCAAAAAAGTTTTCAATAGGGTCTTGGTTGAGGTGCCGCATCCAAACAGAAGTAATACCATACTTAGTTTCGAATTTTTCAAAAGAATTTATACACCAAGTAGTGTCCATCTCTCATGATTATTAGACATTTTATTTATAAATTTCATGTTATTGTGTTCTGAGTTTGGCTTTGCTGGTCCAAGAAGAGGCTTTACATATAGTTTTTTCTTTATTGTAGCTGCCATTAACAGAATCGAATACCTTGTCAAAAAAGAGGAGAATTTCGGCAGTTTCTGCATATTCTCTTGGAAGAATGCCTTTTTCTGAAAAACAAAAAGCTAATTAATCCATTAATAAACACTTGTATTATCAGAGCACAGCAAGTTTTTTGTGACTTTTTTCTTCTTTATTGGCCTATTAAAGTTTACTGCTGGACTTGAGCCTGTCATGCTTGGCAGGTGGCTTGACAATCATAGATCTAGACGTGAACACCTTTGACACAGCTTGTCCATCGTCAATTTGGATTTTATGTCTGGCGTAAACGAGATGGTTATACCGCCGACTAAACAGAACTCATGAGATTATTTGATATATCTGTTTTTTTTTTTTTTTTTTTATAGGATAAGGGTGACAAACGAGCACACAGTCCACCTGATGGTAAGTGGTTGCTGCGGCCCATAGACATCTACATCTATCCTCGTTTGCGAATCAAAATGCAGATGCGTTGCCACCCGTGAGGATTAAGATGGAATGCCTCATTTCCAGTAAAAAGGGCCTCCGGCCACCTGCACTCACCAAGCGAAACGCAGAGGTAAACCTCTACTTCACGCTGGTATTCTGTGAGGTCGTGGTACCACCCCGGTTCGAGCCGGCCCATCCGTGCGACAGCAAAAGCTGCCGCGTGGCTCTACCACTGTGAAAAATAATCTGTAATAACATAACACCCATGGGACAAAATGAGGTGATGGGCTCTCTTTTTTTATTAACATACAATATTTAAGTCTAAATACATAATTTAATTTAGTCATGAGTACATAAGACTTACACTGGACTGATTAAAAGAATAGAAATATTTTTATTATTATTATTCTAATACAAGTACAATCAATTGTGTCAAATACAAATTATTTATTAATAAACTGATATTTTACAGTACACTATTATTATGGTGACGAATTTTTTCAGCATGGACTTTAACATTAAATAAAACAAACAATCATCATCATCATCATCGTTACAGACCAAACATAGGCCTCTTGCCTCTTCAATAAAAATCACAAAGCACGGTCTTTAGCCACCTACATCATATACCAGGTCATCACTCCAGTGGAAGTCCGCCTAACTTCAAAATCACAATCTTACATTTATTACATATAATAATATATTAATATGGATATCAGCCTACAGCCGTCCATACCAGGCATAGCAGATTACTTTAAAAACATCTTAAAGCAGATGCAAGAGATTTTTGATAATATGTTTAGTTCAAAGATGTTTTATAGGTCCAGATACCGTGTACGCGCGCCTAAAACGCTTCCATTTCAAAGGCGCCAATATTGGCGTATTCGTTCGATCGTTCCGCCATTACCAGTGTGACCATATGTGGCAGGTTCCTGCCATTTTGGCAGGATTGGCCTCTTATTTTAGCCTGTGGCATGATCGGTTGACGTTTTATAAAACCTGGCAGTATTTAGCATTATTGGGGTATTAAAAATATATTTCATCATGGCAACTTAAAATGATGAAAATGGTAACCCCTAGATACTTCGCCAGCATGTTGGGGATTTCCCTGTATTTCTCAGTTTCTCGTATTATGCTTGTATCACATTCAATAAACAACTTTAAAAAAATTTGTGTATAAAGTTGATAATCTTAACACGAGTTGGTTAATATTTCAATCAGTTATAAAAGAGACGTACTTTAGTTTGGTATAGAATTAGATTTAATTATTACCATAGGTGGCGGTGATGAAGCGAAAATAAGACAGGGCGTTTAGAGCGAAGTGGAAGCAAGATCTTTTATTTCCATCATGGATCTCAAAAGCTAAAGATGATCCAGACTGTGTAACTGCAAATTGGCTAGTAAACATCAACAAAATATGAGTGGATTCATGCTAAAGAATATTCTCAAAAATAAATTTAATTAAGACAAAAACACGAAACAGATTTATAAACTAACATGTAGCGTATATCTTGTACGTTAAACAAGCATGGCGATTGCATTGCATTCGAACCAACGAAAGATATGTTTAATTTAAAAAATACAGCATTTATATGTTTATTTTGACTTTTATTAGTTTAATACAATGTTAAATAAAGTTGGCAGTATTTAGGCATTTTTCATTACAGATTTTGGCAGGATTTGGCAGGTTTTTTACCGAAGTGTGGCAGGATCTGTATTTTAAAGATGGTC